ACACAATTATTAATATTGTTTGTGGGTAGAAAAATAATAAATATTAATTAATTATCTCACTGAAAACGTGAAGAAAAATGAAATAAACTATCCAATAAAAATTTTACGCATTTATTCCATAACTTGTAATGTCGTTAATTTACTTTCTTTAACGCACACGCATGTAATAATAAATAAGCATTTAACGCTAGTACAGTGCTTATAGTATACCTAACAAGATAATACTAACGTAAAACGTAATAAATATCGAGTTTCATACATCGGCGTCTCATTGTTCAAGAGTTAGTCACTGTCGTGTATCGGAACGCGATAGGTATAGTCAGTTAATGCTTAATGTAACCAGCTGCGTTACAACTAGTAATTCTACGTGGGTGGCTTTAAAATTTTATGATACAAATAGAGTCGTATGTATGGGTAATGGTGTTGAACGTTTACTGGTATGGTTTATTGGGTCTTGGATTCCATTTCTAAGGGCAATATTAATTTTTAGTAAACATTTATATTGTGCTTATTAATTATTAATAAAAATTACGGGTTTTACTAAAAGAAAGGGTTATTATAGGCTATAATTTATATATTGCTAAAAAAAGCTATCAGTACGATGATATCCGTACATATAATAAAACTGTAGAGTTCGAATGTCTGAAACACAGAAAAAAATGCTATAAACCGAGTCAACCAAGAAAAAAATGCTAAAAACTGTCAAACCGAGAACAAATCCAGTTCTTTTATTTTTTGTTTCTCTATCTGTTTGTCTGTTTATACGGGCTAATCTCCGAAACTGTTACTTTTTATGCCGAAAAAATGAACGGTTCCCGTGGGATATATCTATATGTGCTTTTCTAGAGGCAAACCCGAGCAAAGCGAGGTTGAACCGCTAGTTTATGAAATAAATCGGAAAAATCGTCTTTTCTGGGTAATATTCTCAGAACAGAGGATTTTTCCGACTTAAAATAATTAAGAAGGACATCTGGGCGTTCTGGGAATATCACTAGACATTTATAAAACTACTCGTTTAGATTGACAACCAAAAATCTGTTTTTATTTTACAGTGCTATTTTTAAAACAAAGTTTTATCCATCTGGACAGTTACATTTAAAAAATACTGTCCCAAAATCGGTTAACCTTCCTCAGCTTATCTATTAACTCTTGTCATTTGACATAGCGATGACAGTTGGCAGTGACGTTTTAATGTCCTCTGCGGAGTTCGGAACTTCAATTTTACATTCTATTCCGTACTGACGAAATCTAACTGGCTTGTACTTATATTAGATTAAACATCAACTGCTTCGTAGCAGTATATGCAAATTAATTTATTTACTAGCTTTACTCGCTCATAATAAATTCTATGAAATGCGAGAACCAGTAGATGAACAAGATTATGTAATAATAGGAAATTAATGAACGTGTTTTCTCTTTTAAACATTATACTTATTGCTCGTAAAGTTTCATATTTCGAAATGATGTTATAACAAAATAATATTTATTAAATATTCATTCAGAATTTTCAGATAATATTCAGATTTTAAAGCTCAATACAAAGGCTTTTTATTATACATATAAGAGATAGTCTAAACAAATTAAGCGAAATTAAGCCTTGCGTGATTCCATGAATTTCATGTACAATATGAATAAAATACTACGACTAAAAAGCTAATGTTACTAAAATATATACACAAGGGCTATGTTAAAAAAGAACAAGTAGAGGTAACTTTAATAAAAGAGATTCATTTTAATTCAGTACAATTCAGTTATAACAGTTATCAGTAGAAGCCAGACAATAACGGATGATTTGTGTTTAGTTGAGAGTCGCCATAATTAAGCTATGAAGCTGGCTTTTACCAACTAAATAATAAAAGCTGGACAGCTGCAAACGACGATTTTGATAATAGTTTTACCTAACTTTTGTGTGTATCTACATCAACTACATTAATCTATAAATGAAAAATAGCAAAACCGGGTTCTAAAAGGCATACTTTTTGATAGCGTATTAGTATATTATGCGTAATATAGATAAATATTATTACGTATTCAGCCCTTTTTAACCGACTTCCAAAAAGGAGGTTCTCAATTCGTCTGAATCTTTTTTTTTCTTATGTATGTTCACCGATTACTCGAAGACGCGTGAACCGATTTGGAAATTATTATTTTTTTGTTTCGAAGGGTATACTACTAGGGTAACCTTCCCAGGTTGTCCCATTTAAATTTTATCGAAATCGGTCGAGTGGTTTTTAAAAAAAATCAACAATAAATTATTTTTAAATATATTACTTAATAGAATATGTTATTAAAAAACTTTCTTTTTACAAATTATCTGCTTATTACGTTTACACTAAAAAATTAAATAAAAACCGACTTCCAGGCACTAAAATTTAAAAAATAACTAAACGGGGGTTTTCGTTTAGAATAGATACCTAAACAGATATTTACGAAGTTGGTGCCAGCCTACAATATTGTAAGATATAATTATCTAATAGGTAAATATGATTAGGTATGGACTCTAATTATGGTTAAAATATTATACATCAATTTGTGTTGTGATTTACGTATCGAAATGTATTAGATTTGCTTTGCATCGGCTGACACCGACTTCGAAAATATCCGATTAGGTATCTGTTCTAAATAAAAACCCCCGTTTAGTTATTTTTTACATTTCATTGCCTGGATCGGTTTTTATTTTTTTTAAGTTTTTATTAACGTCTCACTAGTGAGCTATTAAAGATTAGATAAATTCATGTTAAATTTATAAAAATAAATAAAATTTAATAAATTATTAGATAAATTGGGCTATTAATCTTAATTTTGATTTCATTGACAGTAACATGAATAATAATTAAAAGTAAACAAACCTACACTGTCATGTTTGTTAAAGTGGTTAAGTTTTAATGTGTAATTTGTATAATAATATGTACCTACAGCTCTATTTTAACAGGTAGCATGTACAGCTATGCACATAGAAGACATACTTTAACCGTGATAGCAAAAAAGAAATCTGTCTCTAGACATGTAAGTCTAGCAAGGGAACCTATAAAGTCTTTGATATAAGATCGATACCTAAAGCTTACCCACAAGAGGCCTTTTCTCAAAGTTAAGAAGCTCTATTTTAGGCTTAAAATTGTGGGATGCCGAAGTCGTTCTTCGATTTAGCTCAGATTTAAGCTCACTAAAATAAATATTTATAAAGATGTAGACTATTACCTATTATGTATTAAACAAGTAGTGTATTAGTGTAGTATTTTATTGTATTTTTATATACCTAAAAGCAAGTGTGACATAAATTTTCTCTTATATTTAGCTATAGGTAAATGTTATGGTAAGGTGCTTGAAATATTTTGTAAATAAGTATTAAATTGTGTAATTTTTCCCGTTCCGTACCTAAATGGCTAACATGAGACCCTTATACCATAACCAAATAGCTAAAACGGAACTCTTATAATTTCGCCATGTCCGTTCGTATGTCACATCTATTTTACTTATTTATGCTGTCAATAACATGGATATTGTAAATAGGCGAATATTTTATTTAACTTTTGCCGTAACAAAGTAGTATTTTAAATACTTTAATTTATTTTCTTTTAAACACTGTATTTAAAAGAAAATAAATTTAATGTTTGCTACGGAACCCTCGGTGGGAGAGTGAAACTCGCGCTTGTCCAATTTAAATTTATGATCTGTACATATAATAAAACAGTAATAATTTATAATTAAATAAAGGTACAAGTTTCTCAAATCCGTCTTAACGTTTTCAAGAAATACCTATACCTATAATGAAAAAGACAGACAGAATCTGATCTTGATCTATCGATTAATTCCATAAAAAAGTGACGGTGTACTTTTTTGCATTTTAGTTGGTTCGATTACAGGTTAAGGTAACCTCTTTTAAAATATTCTTATTTTGAAAATAAATTACTATTTCCTTTAAGTAAAACTTAATAACTTCAAGGTTTAAGGTATTTTTCTTCCTGTCCATCGATTCCGATCCATTTTGATATACCCAAAACTCTATATATGTATTTAATGCTTAGAGTCTTACCTTTATTTCATAAAAAAGATTTTTTTTACATTTGGTATTATATTGAAATTGACTTTTTCGCTATTATATAATGAACATATACAAATATTTAGATAATTCTGAAAACAAATTTGTGACGGCACCTTTCACTCTGATGCAGTTCCAATATGATAACTTTTTTATTATAACAGACTCGAACCTCATGATATATTATGGAATCTTGAATAACCTATGGCATTTTTTTCCATGAGAAATTAAACAAAGATTTTTTTTAGATCTATTGTGACTATATTGACTGTAAAGTATTCGAAACATCGGGAACCAAAAATAAAAAAAACGCTTAAAGTCGGTAAAATAGTTTTATTTAAAATTAACCAACCAACTAAAAAAAAGCACATTTATGCATTTATAGTATTAATATTAGTGAGTATACTAAAATATTATAATTATTTATGATAATCAATGATTAAAGCATTTAACAAAATAATAATTAACATTAAAAACCTTTAAAACGCAAAGTTATTTCAACTTGTATAGCAAATGGCGATATCATTTTAATATTCCCACGATAGTTTTTGTAAAGCCTCTTAAAGTTTTATTGGAATAGTTTTACCGTGTAGTACCGCTTTTCGGCGGAATGTTGCCTTATGGATATTACTTTTTTACGATCTTATGTTTCGCTTTGAATTGAATTTGTATAATTTCAAAATTGAACAATAAATTCCAAGTAAAGTTATTTGACGAAATGTCTCCAAATCGTTTTTTACAATTTAAATTAACAAAACGTTCCACCAATCCTTATACAAAAAAGCACATTCCATTCACCCAGTTTATTACTTTACTTGCTTAATTTATTTTCTTACTTTATAGCTTATTTAAATAGTACAGGAATAAATTTACATGATATTAATATATTTTCTTTTTGTTTTAGAATGTGAACATCTTTGCCGGTCATTCAATGACAATATTCATATGACCACAACGGACAATGCGGTCACAAGCTGCAAAACCTTTACCGAAGAAGGGAGCTTTAGGAAAGACATCTTTTAAAGCAAGTTCGGCTGCTAAAGAAGTCAAGAAAAAGGGAGTTTCGCCCAAAAAAGCTAAACCACCTCAAAAGTCTGCATTAAAAGGTTCTAAGAAAAAAACTAGCGATGATGCAACATGCAATAAAAATGAAGGCGAATGTCCTGTTAAAGACAAAAATGACTCATCAACACCAGACGCAACAAAAATCGAATCTACTAAACCAAATACATCTAGAGAGGATCCTCCTACAAAAAAATCTAAAAAAGATCGCAAAGAGACCAAAGAAAAGGCTAAAGTATTGACTAAAAAAATTGTTGCGAAAAAGTCGATAAAATTAACGAAAAAAAATAAATCAACCCAAAAATTAAAGAAAGAAGATAATGATGACATAAAGTACAAAATAAATTTAGAAGCAGTTAAGAAAGTTGCTACAAAAATACCTAAAGCAGCAGTAAAATCTAATGTAAAAAGAGGAAATTTAGCAAATCAAAAGAAAAATGTTTCTAATACAATTAAAGAAACAGAACAAATGAAAAAAGATAAAATGTTTGTAGAAGAAGGAAAAAATAAAGACAATATAGAAAGTCAACATGGTGTTGACAAATCTGAAAATAAAGACGGAAAAAGTTGTGAGTTACAATCTGAAATTATAATTGACCGAAAAATAGAAGCAGCACATTGTGAAAAATCAGAAATTAACATCGTTAAAGCTTGTCAACAAAATTCTTTAGATGTAAACCTTCAGGCAGAAACACCAAAAGCTGAAAATGAACGACCACCTAAATTTTTTACTTCAAGTAGATCTCCAAGAACCGTTGATATTGATGTAAAATGTTGTAAAAATTCAAAAGGCAATTTGAGCGTCTCCGAGAGATTTTTGTCTCTAAAATCTGATGATAACAATAAGGAGAAAAATTCTTCTAATAATCTTGTTTCTCAAGGCCCTGAAATAGATGTTTACACTTTTACAGAAAAAGTCGACTCGCCAAAGAGTATCCTTTCAGATTTTAGAACTCCTACAAATAAAAGTGTAGGACGAGTAAGACCAATAGCTAGGGTAAAAGGCACTGTTATTGATAAAAAAGCAGATACTGAACGAAAAAAATATTCCCCTCATCGACCTATTGAAGAAGTTGTTAAACAACTGAAGGCTAATAAGCGATCAGAAGATGTCAATACAGGTCAAAATAGTACCAATTACGTGACTTCCGGCTTAGACTTTGGGGCATTTACTGAAGGAAATGAAGTTGACGATAAGCCACCAATAGTAAGTAAATCATATAAAATGGTTGCACGAAAATCTAGCATTACTGGAAAGCCTTTTAGTCCTATTAAATTCCTTGATCAAGAATCTTCTCCTAAAACTGAAGATAAACCTGGAACTAAATCGAGTAATGTCAAGAAAAATACTAACAAAAAGAAACAGCAAAAGAAAAATTGCTTATCTGATGAAGAAATCAATACGTCGACCTTTTCTCTTAATACTAGTGTGAACTATACGTCTTCAGAAGACAGTGTAAGTGAATCAAATGACGATAACGATAGTAAAGAGTCTTCAGAATCAGATTCTTCCAAATCTAAGAAGGTAAAGAATAAAAAATATAAAAGAATTACTGATGGGGCAAAAAAATCGACTTCAAAGGAGTTAAAAGAGCTTTCAAAAGATTCTTTAATTGACTTAAAAGATACATCAGCCTTATTAGGTAACGAGAAACCCAGTAAAAGACGACTAAAGCTGCTGTCCATGTGGAATGGTCCTAAAAAGCATAGAATGGCTTCCTTGAATGCTTTAGCAAAAGTGCACTGTTTATATGAAAATGAAAGTAGAACTCACATGGAATTAGGTCTAATGAAAACTGTTGATAGGCCAGTAATACCCAGCACATCAAAAGCTTCAACGCCTAAAAAGAAAGAAAATAAATCTAGGGAAGCCGAAAAACAGGATAGTAGCAGTACATCAGAATCAGAATATGAAAATAAGAATGAGAAAGAAAAAGAAAGTTCTGAAAGCTCTGATGATAACCCTCCTCAAAGAACTTTACGTGGCGTACCAGGGATAAGAAGTGCTGGTAAATATTGGGATCCAAAATCATCAACTTCATCTAGCGAAGATAGTGAACTTGAGTCTCGGACAAAAAATACTACGCCGGATAAAAAGAAAATCGCAACAAAGTCTTCATCTACAGCAAAATTAGACTCTGATAAACCACCGCCTAAAATGAAGAAAACGTCCGGAGTACCGGTAAAGAAAAAACGCAATAGAAATGAGGTTGTTATGGACTTAAAAGATATGGTAGTTCAAAAGCGAATGGCTAGTCTGAATGCTACTGCTATTTTAGCAGCGAGTTATGAAAAACGTTCTCCAAAATCAAATAAGGATGATACAACATCAGATTCGTGTAGTGATGAGTCTTTTTCTCAAAAGCCAAAAAACGTAATAAGTTCCGGCGTAAAGTCGGAATTAAAAACTGAAGATACTAAAAAAGAAAGCGATGAATCTGCAATAGCCGACAGGAAACAAAAAGTGGAGGTTATCGTAAATCAGGATACAGATGTTACGATTACGGGGGTGTATTCCACGCACCATCATGAAGGTTTTTGTACCGTCTCAGGAATGCAATATCGCATCTCATCGACTAGCCATACTCAAACTACAGCAACGGCTAATTGTGATAAGGTAAGATTCAACATAGAACGTAGTAATTTATTGTGTCTTGAATATTCCAAAAAATCCTCGTTTTATGCTTATTATTATCTACTGGAAATTATTAAAGAAATCAAAATGCAATGCAAGCTATATATATATGTTCCTCTTAAAATTTATTATTAATCTTGATAAATTTCATAAAGATATTTAAGGTATCAAGAGATACAATTTACAAACGAATAAACTAAGTCATTTTCGGGCTTATAAGTAATAGTAAAGGTTATAAAAGTAAAATAACTTATAAACATTAAATATTGCTATAATAATATTATATTATTATGCTTTAACATATTAATGATAACCGTAAGCGTTTGGAGTCTCATTAATATCCGGTAATGAAGTAAGTTCTACTTAAACACGATTCGGGACCTCGTCTATAATACGTGATTCATGTAACACTCACTCAAAGTTTGAACAGGAAATTAGACCTTGTTACATACTAATAAAGTTCATATTTTAATGCATGCAATAAACAATTCATGCATGAAAAGAATAATTTTAGTGTTTGTTGTTCATGATAAAGATAATAAGAAAACTGTACTAGAAAATTACGTGAAAGTTCACAAAGATTGTCGGCGGCTAAAACAGTTACGCATACGTTATTAATATTAAACTTTTAACTAACTTATAAAATATTTTAGAAGACGATGAATATTTATAGATATATGTATATGTATATTTTACCGGAACTATTATTTTAGGAGGGTTGTTCTCGAGAGGAGGGATCTCGTTACACGCCTCTCTCTGCATTATCGTCAATGCAGCCTCCCGCAGAACATGCACACACACATCCACATCCAGGTAAATATTTAACTACTTATAATTTTATGATGTTATATTAATTAATATATGTTAAATTAATTTAAATCATTGCTAGCGTTTAAAAATCACTTATTAAAGCAGATTTATCGCATAACGGATCAGGATAAAAATAGCCTTTATCGCTAGAATCACTTAAAAGATACTATCGAACTTCTATTACAAATGCGAAAGATTTTGTGTGTGTATATTTGTTACTCCTTCATGCTGTAACAACTGAACGGTTTTGGATAAAAAGTGCATATAGACTGGAATAATACAGAAGTTTAAATCGCTATTAACACTATATGCAAAAATTCACGCTATGTATGGCATTATGAAAGAAGACGTAACCAACAGACACATTTAGTGTTCAAAATCCTGTATTAGAAAAAAATTCAGTAAGAAAGAAAACTTCTTAAATTGCTTTTTATTTTATAGTAAATAAAATATCTAAAAGTTAATAATTGCACATAATATTAATTATAATGTGTATAAAAATTGTACTCTAGCGGTAAACCCATATAAACCTTGGCTTGTAGCCAAGCGTGCAGATGTCGATGCAGGTCTTATCCTCAACAGAACTTCCTTCAAATATTACCCATATATTAAATCACTTTATCTCCCTTCTATTTAATTTACCAACATTACAATTATAACACTAAATAATTATTATTGTTGGCAAAAAAGTAAACCACAATCGAGTTGATTTTTTTTAATTCTTAGCAAAACTTCATTTGAATATTTATTTCATCAGCCCTGAACTAATTTATTAAAATATCCTAACCTACTCTGAGAATATTTTATAACAGATTTGACCTAAAAACGCAAAATCAGGCGCATTGGAGACGTATAAATTCCTAATCTACTTCAACATTCAAAGTCTTTTAAATTACTTCGACGCGACGTAGTGAATAGTTTCAGAATTTTTAATGACTCGAACAACGGCGAAATGGCTTTGTAACAAGCATTTTCTTGACTGCGGTATATATGTACATTGTACATAGGTATGCATAATAGATGAATACAAAATATAATATGTAATGTGTATTAGAGTATTTATTTAAAGTGCAATCAATAAATGTTAAATAGCTTTGTTAGTTACACGTATTTTTTAAATTAATTCTCAGTAGCTTAATTTATATTCGCCACTAAAACTTCGATAAAGTCACTATATAATTCGATATACGAGTATAAAGAACCATGGCTATAATGACAATCTTGTTATTTCAAGTTACTTTAAAAATATTGTTTAAGTAAAGGCGCAGATTATACCTTACATACAATCAATTGGGAAAAATAAATAAAATAAAGAATATTATTTTTATTCTTTACATATCTATAGATAGATAATTTACGTATAGTATTTACATATGTATGGATACAGAATTCATTATTAATTCCCACGCTCTTACAACCACTACATTATACAAGGGAAAAGTTCGTGTAGAACAAGTAAATTTTCCAATAAACTAGCGTCGTTCACTTATTACCTATAAGATTATAGCCATATTATGTACTGGTGCAGATCCAGTGGTGGCAGACTGCCAAGATACCCAATACCTATAGTATAAAGACCGCCTACTTCACTGTCAATCTAAACTCCAAATCAGCATTATTGAAGTCTTCTGATGCATGTTAAAATACTAATTAAATGATTTTAATTATGTGCCTACCTAATACATATTAATTTTTTAAAGTAAATATTTTATATAAAAGCGAAAATATGGATGTAAAATAACATCGTGTTCTCTTTATACGCCTCGCAAGAAAAATAGAATATAAAATTCGATATTAAGTTAGCTTTTATGATTAAAATAGCAAAATGAGCACACATAAAAAGTTACCTAGGAAAGAACACTTAATATAGACTGATATGTATTTAACGAAAAGCACTTGGTGCACCTGGATATCGTAACCCAGTCCAAGTGCTACTTCGTAGTAGTCCTCTCCGACCCATTAACTCTATGAAAAATCACGTCTATTCATCGTGAGATTAAAATACCACAAACACAATTCCTTATTTATAATAATAGTAAGTAAGTAAGGATTTTACAGTTAAATATGCAGAAAAGTCTTACTCAGTAAAAAGTTAGAGAACAGTTTTCCACTCACGTATATTCCCACACTTAAAATACCAATGTAAGAGGCGACTGTTGGAAAACCATTTATCGAGTACATGAATAAATTTGCACAAATGAGCTTGACTAAATACGAGTATTATTTTAAAGGAGCGTATGATTTATTAATTAACATATACTTAAATATATAATATTTAATGTTATTTATTAAAAATGAACGTCGTGATCCAAGTCTGACTTACATACATACGATTTCCCCTCGTTTCGCTCGGGTGCATTCATAACAGATGCCCGACAGTAGCCTATGATTTACTTCAAGTCATAGTATTTTTGTGTACTAAATAAATACTAGAGGCAGTGGTAGCCCAGTGGTAACGGGCTCGCTTGGGAAATCGAGTGAAGTGGGTTCAAATCCCGGGACTCGACCTTCTGATATTTTCATGTGCGAATCATTTCTAACTTGATTACCACTTGCTTTACGAAGAAAGAAAATATCGTGAGAAAACCTGCGTGTCTGAGAAAACCTAGCAAGTTTTCGAAAGACATATGAAGTCCGCCAACCCGTACTTGGCCAGCGTGATGGACTATGGCCAAAATCCCCTCGTATTGAAAGGAGGCTCGTGCCCAGCAATGGGACGTTAAAAGGACTGAACACAAATAAACACTAATTTGTGTAATAAAAATTTCATCCAAATCCGTCCAGCCGATTTACCATCCAACGTTCACACACCTGCTCTCAATCAGCCCATGCAGATTGCATGTACGATCCCCGCAAGAAGCGAGTTTGCTCTATTAAACAGATATTTATCCTGGTCAATTTAAGACAAAACGATGTTTAATGGGCCTTAGCACTGCGCGGCAATTGTCTATTTACATGTATTCCATTCTATTTCTAATAGTTAGGTATATTTTACCAACTTTAAAAGTTACTCAATTTAGGTGCCCAATTTATATTAATTGTGAATATTACGTAATATCTTCAACAATTGTTAAACAATTAGACTGAATAATTCTTAAATTAATTTAAGTGTACTTTTTTGATTAAATCTAAATAGTATAGAAATATATAATCCTTATTTCAATTGTCTAAATGCTATTTTATATACATATACTTAACTAGCGACTTACCGTCGCTTCGCTCGATTGCGCCCCTTGGTACGTGGATTTTGTTCACAATTTCATGTAAAAAAATATGGAAATAAAAGTTCCATCAAAATCGGTCTAGCCGTTTCGGAGATTAGCCGGAACAAACAGAGAGACAGACAAAATTTTAACAATTGTTTTTTTTCTTATAAGCATTAAGTAAGTTTCATATGTATTTAGTAAAAAGCTATTGACATTACAAACAGGCAAATCATTTTTTTTATTTGTATAGATATCTATAATTTTATAATATATAATACTATAATATATAGTATTTCCGATTATAAGGCTCAGGCTCACGTATAAATAAATACATTTAACGTAGAGCCGACCCTCGCTGTTGTATCCGATTAAAAATGTAATGCTTACTGGAAGCTCGTTTGTTGTTAAGTCTCTCAGAATTGTAATGGACAAAGGGTCGCAAATAGGGTATGGACTATATACCAATTTTGCGAGAATTCATATTCACTACGTTGTAAATTTAATTCAACACAACAAATAAGTTCTAACCAACTTTTTTTAAACTAACTAGTAACACGGCTGTCAAAAACTAAAGTACAGTAGGTTTATGTAGGCATATGTACATATATATTACGATACATTTGGCTCAGTTTGTAGTGACATTCAATTGTTTGAAGTGCACAAATGCTTGTACTCTAGTTATGGGTGTTTATTTTTATAATATATATGTATTTAAAGTTATATATGTGTAGTGTATCAACTATCTGGTATCTATAAAACAAGCCTCGTAGCTTACCATGGAATTAGATAGAGCTGTGTGTTGATGTCCCAACATATTTATTTAATTATTTTATATTATTGGATATGTATTTATGTTTATATTATGTATTTATTATAATATTATATTTATCTATTAGTACATATTTATTTAAATTTATTCGTGTTATATTTTTTATACATATATTATGTATGTTTAGTGATAAAAATCTGTTAATGGCACCCTTTCCAAACTGTAAGACAGTTTGCTATTTCCTACTCCTAAAGGTTGCCTGATAGAGGCCGCCTCTTGTACGTTTTTTATCTTTTATTTATTGTTATTTTCCTTGTTATACAATAAAGAGTTTATTGTTATTAATACTCAAAAGACTGACTGCTTTGTTTCTTTAGATGGCTGCGCTTATTTTTTGACCCAAATATTTCACAGCTTCCTTTGAATTCTAAATCACCCTTTTATTAATTTATGGTGTTTAGTTTTCATCCTAAGTTATGCGCGGCCTGTCCTCACGGTCCCTAAATCTCAGCGCCAAACCACACAAATACATTATAACCATAAAGATTACTTTATTATCTGCAATTTTTATAGATATATGAACGAATCATACCAAACATACACTATCTGTTATACATTAGAACATTAGCTCGATAGTAAATAAAATTAAACATTTCTTTTGATTATATTGCATGAGGCATCATAAATACTCATACATACTTGTGAATTACAAAACTAAAAGTACCTTTTTATCAATTCAAACGATCTCTGAATTCAAAATCACTTAAAAATAATTATTCTATCGTAAGGACTGGATTTTTAAAAATAAAATTTATGTATATGAAATCAGCCTTTAGGAACATACATCTATCTATATTACTGTTATAAAAGGAAAGATTTGTATTTTTGTATGTTTATAACGAATAAAATCAAAAACTACTGGACTGATTTAGATGAAATTTGATAAGAAGATATTTTAAGACCCTGGGAAGGACATAGGATATTTTTTATTCCCGGAATTCATCCCTTATAGCGGTGAAAATGGAGATGAAAGTTTGTGTGGGGAATCAACCTAGGGACGAACCCGAGCGAAGCGATAGTAAGTCGCTAGTATTGTATATACATTATTAATTCATAAAAAAAGAACTCTGAAAATCAATTTACGTTTGTGAAGATCCACACAATAAAAAACAAACGAATTGAGTATGTAGGTACCTTCTCCTTTTTGACATCAATCAAAAGCACTAACAGCAGCATTGACTACAAAATTCAAAGTAATGTATGTACTCGTAAAGATTGCACTCAAAGCCGTGTAGTTGATTAAATAACGCATGTTTTGCATTCTCCGTTAAAATCTAAGCCGCGTGACCTATTTGTTATCTCGAGAATAACCATTCCGACGTTTTCAACATTAACAGCCAAAAAGCTACGAAATACAAGGAAAATGAAAACAGCGGCATAGACAGAAGTTGTTGAGTTAATCATGGAAGCCGAACGCTAAGCGAGTCTTCTCGTTTTTGTGTCTGCCTTAGGGATAAATGTGCGACAATTCGGAAATATGTAAATGTATATTCACATTTGTTACGTTTCTCCTCGCTTTGCACGTATCACGTCTGTTTGTATCACAATCATATCAAATTTAGCTATTTATTATGTATGCTCCAAGTTATATTTACTGGGGATTTTCTTAACTTCAGTTAAAATATTAGTGTAAAATTATATATAGGTCGAGAATATTCATATTTTAAATAATAACAACTAGCGGCTCACCCTCGCTTTGCTTGGGTTCACCTCTAGGAAAACAAAAAACAAACCTATCTCACGGGAACCTTACATTTTTCCGGGATAAAAAGTTGCCTGCCAATGTACTATTCCAGACTATTATCTATCTCTTTGTCAAATTTCATTCTGATCCGTTAAGCCATTCTGGCGTGAAAGAGTAACAAACATCCATAAATACTCACAAACTTTCACATTTATGATATTAAAATACGGAAATACGGATTATGAACTATAATATAAAATAGTAAATATAAATGTAACACGATAAAATAATTCCTATTAATTAGATGCATTAATTTTATTTTCTTCTTTAAAGATGTAAAAGCATAAAAATATTTTTTGAACGGCTTTACATGGAACTATTAAAAGTATTAGTTCAAAAATATGCTCTTTACATAGAGAGATTTTTTCATTATTTGCAAATAGTATTATTGTTATAATTAATTAAATAAATAATAAAAAGGTTTATTTAAAACTAATTTAATAAATGTAATTAATAAATGTTTTAAGGCTTTTTACTATATTTGTCCGTAAATATTTGAATTTAATTATTTTCCTACAAATTGCTAAACAAAAGAGTATCTTTCGCAATAAAGAAGTTTATTGGGGACAAGGTATTTTCTGTAAAGCCTACGTTCGATACAAGCCACACAAACACCTCCCGCTGTTGAAGCATTATATCTCGGTAAACGACAAATTAGAGGTAACAACTGGGTAATGACTACACACCACGTCCCATTTAACTACTTGCTTTGAAAAATCAAAAGCCCAATACAAAGCTTGTTAAGTATTGACTTTTAAAAAGCAGCAATAATGATTTCTTTGATTTTTTTTCATTTTATTATCATTTTTATCTATGTACTTAATATAATTACAAAACGATTTCAGTTACGTCAACATGTATTTTACTGTCTTAAAACTATTGCAGCTTTCTTAAGATTCCTATCATCAACGATATCATCGGATTCATTAAAAAATAATAACCAAATTACATATATGATGTATGAAAACTGAAATCAATTTAATAAGTTGTAGATAAGTAAAAAGTATTCTATAATAAGTCGATACAAATCCTCACAATGATTCGGTGAAAGTGCTACAGACCTATGAACTAGTTAAACTAGACTAGATAGATAAACTTTTAACATCTTTCTCAAATTTAAGCGTTCAAAATAAATATCATATCGAAAAAATACTTGTTCCGCGATAGTTTTCAACGCAATAATAACATAAAATATCAGTAAAGTGAGACATCGCGAGTCGTACTTCCACATAATATTATAATCTTAGGTTGTATAAAACTCCTAATGCGAGTTCAGTACGCGCTTAGCTATTTATAATTTCTACATAATTAAAATAAATATAACATTTGTACTCCTATGAATTAACTTATTGCCTTTTCATTAATACATAAAAACTTTTTAACAAAAAAATAAAAACCGACTTCAAACAAAAGCACTAAAAAGTAAAAAATAACTGATTGGTAGTTTTCATTTACTATACATACCTAATCAAATATTTTTGAAGTCGGTGTGCTTTGGCTAAGTAATTAAAGCCTACCTATTAAATACATACCTAATCAAATATTTTCGAAATCGGTGCCAGCCCATACAAAGCAAGGCACACCGACTTCGAAAATATTTGATTAGGTATGTATAGTAAATGAAAACTACCAATCAGTTATTTTTTACTTTTTAGTGCTTTTGTTTGAAGTCGGTTTTTATTTTTTTGTTTAAAAGTTTTTATTTTTCCCTTTTTAGTGTAGACAGTAGTAGCAAAGTAAGGATTCTAACGTGTTAGGCTTGTCGAATCAAACAAAATAAGCCCAAACTCAAAGTATCTACTATTAGCCGTTGAAGAGTTCCACCTATCCACCTTCTGGTCTTGCCATCAGATCAGGTCAACAACACCGAACCACTGTACTATCAACGGAAATAGAAATACTTGCAAAGTTTCAAGTCAATATGACAATTAGAAGTAGGTTAAATTCATCATTAGTTGTTTTTCCACCCTTAGGGGTGGTTTTTTTTTTGAAATTTAAATGGGACCAATCTGGAAGTATACCCTTTCAAACAAAACAAAAATTGTCCAAATCGGTTAATAAATGACGGAGTTCTGAGGTAACAAACATAAAAAAAAAAAAAACATACAGTCGAATTGAGAACCTCCTCCTTTTTGAAGTCGGTTGAAAAATGAAGAGGTACTGGTATTTTAAAAATAAAGAGATACACTTCAGTTTACGTGATCTTTTGTAGATGTTGGAATTGTTTTTTTTTTAATGCATAGGTAAATTAGCACTTCAAAGAATTATAAGCAAATAAATATCGAAAAAGCGTTTACCATAAAGGGCTGTATAATTGCTTTAATTTCATTCGTGGGCTACCGAAACTTTAGATGCGGTTCATTAAAAATAAGAAACGATTATAAATTAAAATTAGTATACTATACTCGAAACAACCATTAGCGTACCATATTTCAACCTTATTATTTTTGTCCCAGTGCCAGAACTGGGTGGCCTGGCCCGTCGGGCAGCGGGCTGTTCCAGTGCGTTCTCCGCTCCCTCACCAGCCGCACATCATGATCCAGGTAATTTACCCAAGTACAATAATAATAATATCCTCCTGACGATTTCGGCCGCGGTTGCTAATTTCACTGAGACTAGACGTGGTTTTTTTTGGAACATAAACACACAACACCATCTAGTTCCATGACTATGGCTACGAGGCTTGTGCTATGGATACCAGATAGTTGATATGCTATACATATATAACTTTAAATACACACATATTATAAAAATAAACACCCATGACTTGAGTACAAGCATCCGTGCTCGTCACACAAATTAATGCCCCCAGCGGGACTCGAACCCGCGACCGCTGGCACAGTAAGTAGCATCACTACAAACTAAGCCAAACGTGTCGTCAAATTATATTATAAGGAATACAAATCTCATACTATGATAGGTCAATACGATCGACAATTCAATTTAACCGGTGAGCTCTGCGGAGTGATATGGCGAACGATTACGTGTTCTCCGAGGCTAAAGGATGATGTTTCATCCTTGACAAGTCGGCCAAGTCAGACCTGGAATTCGTGTCCAGATATCCAGATCTGCGGCCGTACATGCTAATCACTATACCATAACTGATGATGTTCTCCTGACCGATTCCAGCCACGGCGGCCAATATCATTGAGACTAGCCAACTGCGCAGGAGATATTATAGTGCACAAGTGTACGCGCAGACACAACGTGCACTCTCTATTCCTGTCACTCTTATACTCTGATGGGACGGTCATTCAACACGACCAGTGAGAGTTAAGGCGCAGGACTGACGGCTTTACGTGCTCTCCGAGGCACGGGGGTGAAACACCGCCAACTTCCCAACTCCGGGCTGTTATTGAGGCTTACTATACAGAAAGACTCAATAACTAAACTTGGCCCGACCCGGGACTCGAACCCAGGACCTCCGCCACTACACCACCGAGGCAGTTAATACCATAACTATAACTACAATAAATATTTTTTTCAAACTATAAAAATAATTCGAATTATAAAAAAATTGTCTTGCTTTTGCACCGAATAGAATTCCATGAGATAACAAACTTGAGTTGAAAAGTAAATATAAATTAAACATATAACGTATTTAACAAGAGTATAATAGAAAACGAATATACGTATAATAAACAAATATTGAACATGAAAGTTTGGTTATACTGGTAAAATAGCTACGAGTATCTAACTCGTATTTCTAGTAAAACATAGTATGATAATGTACTTCAATCAATTAATTAAATAAACAGATTGTATATGTATGTACATATAAATATTTAAAATATTTAATATACAACGTGTTATGTGTATGTAGGTATGTATTTTATTTCTTAAATAACTAATCAAAGTCCAATAAATAAATAGAAAAAATGATCAAGTAAAATGGTCATTCAAAAAGGCAAAAGAGTTCCACTTCGGCTCTTCCGTAATAGAAACGTAATAAAACTCCCGGACCATACATTTCCTATGTAACCCTCGTAGATTTTGAGCAAATTATCGCCAATGGACAGCGCTTTTGCCGTAATCGGATACCCTAACAAGACGAAATCAATTCCAACAGCTTGGGGAAAAACTGGTATATCTCACCAATTTACATTTGTAAATTAATAAATTAGGATTCAATTATTTTCTCTTAATCAAAATTAATCATATGAGACTCCAAATCCAAATTGAGTTCATTGATTATCTACTAAATATTTCAATCTGAAGAGAGGGTGAGTCGTTTGTATACATATATAATTCTTCTGTACATATGTATATCACTGATCTTCTCCTAAGCGGCTGGACCGATTTTGATGATTTCTTTTTGTGTTCTGTTGGGACCGCTTGTTTAGTAATGAAGTCTTAACATCTCTTATATATACTTTTCTATAATAGGAATATAAAAAATATTATAAATTATTAATAAATATATAAAAATAAATAAAAAAAAACAATTGATAGTTACTTTTATTATTATAAATTTTATTGAATTTAATATTCTTCTAAATTTTAAATATTTTTAATACCTATATAAAATATAATACTACTACCTAATAAGCTATTGCAAAGTGGCTTCTAGCCATCTCTTAAAAACGCTTTTAACTGTGGTAAATCTGCGGTTTTCCTATCACGAAATTAATATAGTACAGAAATAACTTCCACTTAAATGAGTTGTGTATTGATAACAGGTTGCTATGGATTAAACGTATTTGGATTTAGTATTGATATAGCTAACAATCTATATATTTATAAATAAGCGAGGCAATGGTAGCCCAGTGGTAACTGGTAACGCATTCGAACGAAAACATCGTGAGGAAACCTGCATGTCTGAGAGAACCTAGCAAGTTTTCGAAAGACATGTGAAGTCCGCCAACCCGCTACCTGATCCCCCTCGTATTGAAGGGAGGCCCGTGCCCAGCAGTGGAACGTTAAAAAGGGCTGAATAAAATATAAATAAGCAAATGCAAAAAGCAGCCGCAGAAGAAATTAGTAATTTAATATACACAAATAGATATCTTGCTAATAATTTAAATTAGTAATAGGTGTAATTTATAATACAAACGTATGTGGGTTTATGAATAAACGTTTTAAAATAATAGATTTGAATTTTAAAAAAAATCTAATACATTTATTTCTTATTTTTCATTTTAAAACTAAATACCACTTTCCGTGTTTCCCGTTAAGAATAATAGAGTTTCATACAATCTTTTATCCCTTATTTTACCCCCTTAGGGGATTAATTTCGAAAAATCCTTTCTTAGCGGATGCCTACACTGTATGAGGAATATGTCCTTCAAATTTCACTTTTCTACGACCAGAGGTTTAGAATGTGCTTTGATCGATCAGTCAATCAGGACAAAGGATTTTATGTATATATATATATATATATATATATATATAGATTTTATGTATGTATATATATATATATATATATATATATATATATATAAGATATAATACCTACTTACTTAAATTTCCGCGAATATTTGACATTTTAATTAAAATTATCTTTTCGGACCATTTTTGAATTTTTGAAATCATATTTGTAAAATTGTGGGTAGGCACTGTCTGTAACAAGTATATAACGCCTTTGAAACGTCTAAAACCTTAGTCTCTCACGTGACCATGATTGTAAAACACTCAAAACGTCGGGAACCAAAAGTCAAAATAAAACCGCGAAATAATCCGAAAAGAGTTTTATATATAAAAAATTACAACGGTTCCATACGATATTTTAAACTCAATTTCTAAATACAATTTTAAGTTAACGATGAATGACAATGAATGATATTATGAACTTTCCTAAATTTGTCCATTTCGTATTTGTACGTATTCGAACAGTGTAATAATATTAATTTAAGTAAAGTAATAATTACTAACGTTAGAACACTTGTAACAATCGCTAATTGGTCGATATCGATATTTTTTATAAATAGGTTCTTTTTGTTTCATTACCATTTATTAAGTTTACATACAAACGGAAAATACAAGTTCTTAAAATAGACATACCATTAGCAGTTTCTTAATTAATTAATCCAATAGCACTTATGGTATATAGCTGTGCCTATATAATGTTTTTAATTACTTCTTTTATAATCTATAATATCGAATAAATACTTAATATTAGATAGTCTGGAATAACAAAACTACAACAAACTAAAAAGTACAAATATAAAAACTGTGTAACACTAATTCAACACATTAAAATGTAGAACATTGGAAAACTATTCAACAAATGGTTTTGTGTTATAATAAAATATTCTAGTTTCAAATGAAACGTAGAAGACTCGGTAGAATAAACTTGTAGTAATAATTCCGACAGAGATCTTTTTAATATCCGCGTCGTAACTTCTTTCAACCCTCAGTCGACAGTCGGTTAAGTAATTAATTCTTTTGCCGGCCCCTTTGAATAAATCACTTCACAGCCAACTTGAACATTATAAAAGTTGTCTTTTAAATTTTAAATACTGTATTCAATGATTCAAGATACCTTTTCGGAATTTCATCTTCTGTTTTGTGACACGACGCCTTTGACTCTTATAACTTTATTGTTTTATTATGCTAAAATTCCGACCCTTCCGTCAATTTTGTAATAATATAAACATATCAGATTTTTCTTTAAATGGCGACTTCAAATCTCAGAGTACTTTCTTTTACTTTATCCCTAGTCATTCGCAATAAACACGTCCCGACGGTCCCACTAAAGCACTACTTCGGAACTTGTTTAACACTTGGAAACGTTAAAACTACCGTAGCTTGTAAACGGAGATCTCTACTGTGAGTCTGAATTAGCTGTCTTAGATCTTTTAACAAATTATATGACGATTTACGTCTGTCACATTTATTAAATGAAATTTTCCTTTTATCTTTTATATAGAAGCGAAATTTACGCGAAGCAAAAACTTTGTACCTACCCCTTTTTAAAAACAATATGCGGACGGAGGAATTTGAAATTTGACACAGTTAAAGTTTATATGAAGAAGTGCAGAAAGCTAATATTTTTATATAAAATGTATTAGAAATACATTAAATAAAAAAAGACATTACATACACTACCGCGTGAATGGCACACACACATATATAATAGTATACATATTACACAGTATACATATAGCAGAGTATGACCATAGTAAATTCATTTCTTGATGCTTAAAATCTATGGTTAAACTGAGAAGATTATAATTTTATCTTAAGGGATGATTTCCGGGATAAAAACTTTTTCACTCACTCACTTTTCATATCGTGAGATTTAAAAGAACTTATTTTAGTGATCTCTCTTTCTTTTAATTTTCTTCTATACAAAACTTCTTGACAATAACACACAAAAAAATAATTATCCAATTTGGTGCAGTCGATCCGAAGTTATGCGCGTATGTATAAATTTCGGTGATTCATTTTCATTTATATAGATGAAGTAAAACATTATTTGTCTATCTGAATGTCAAACATAATCATGTGTTAATTTCATAGTCATAAATGAAACTTTATTTATTTCTATTTATTTATTTATGTACCACAAAAAATATATATAATATAAAAACAGGACCTACCACCGAAACTACTAACAGGAACAACTAACAGGAACTACTACCAGAATATATACCTTGTGTACAAACGGTACTTTAAGTATGTAAGTATTTTGAATTTAGTTACTTTGTATATACCTATATTTTGTCTAATATTTTTGATTTATATGTTATTGAAATACAGCTTTCTCAATATACATATTATCTATATTGTAAAAAGAAAATGTGTAGCAGTAATCTTAAATGACTTATTCTCCCTTTTTTTGTTATTGGTGGTTACAAAACGTGAGTACATTTAATTTTTAGCCAAATAAAAACCGTTCAGTACATTTTTTTGCTCTGTTTGTCAGCATATTTTTTTATTTAATAGCTATTGACGAGCTTCAATGCTATCAATAAAAAAGGAAACAGTTTATTTTCTTATGAAGTTAAGTAAATTTTATTCTATTCATATATATTTTCTTCAAATTTCCAATAATAATTATGGTCGAATTTCGACCACTGGGTGAACTCTAGTTTCAATTATTAAATACAATTTTTACCGATCATTCTCCATTGCTTTCTTTACGTTCTTTATGATATTTGTGAAATGAAATTATTTGGAATAAGTTTTACAGTTAAATTGTTTAACATATATCTAAAATTTATTGCTGCACATACTACACAGATAAACATTTTTAAAGGACTCTACTGTTTTAGCTAAAATTTCAACTGCGAGTAAA